AAAGGGAAAAAACCCTGCAGCTTAAAGGTTTTCCGTGATATCTAAATATTCTTCTGCTGCCTCAGTGCATAAGAAGAAGCGTCGGAAAAGTCGCTGGTCCACTGGGTACATAGCGAAGAAGAAGCCATCCTCGTCCCCCCACGTATCCAAGGACGACGCTTCCGATGAGGACGAAGACGATGGAGATGATGAGGACGAGACTGGGAAAGAAGGAGCAGCAGAGAATCCCAACGGAGGAATTAAAGAGGGTCCAATAGACGTCGAGCCAGGAAGTGCAGCAGATCAGGAAGGTAGATCTGAGCCGAACGGTCAGGAGGAAGAGACGGAGAAGAAACCAGCTGCTGAAGAGCAGCAAAACCAGCATGACGAAGACGGAGCAGAAAAAGACGACGAAGCCGTCCGGCGTCAGTCAGAGCGGCCTGAACCTTTCACGGGAGGAGACGCAGACCAGGGCGTCTCTGTCCGCACGAAAAGGGACGACTGCATGGAGGGAGAGGGAGACGCTCAGAACGCCATCACAGCAAACATGAGTCCTGCCGGTCAGGCAGAGACGCAGGTGGAGAGGAGTCACTCCGCCGACGATCAGAACAGCAAACAGGTCACAGGAGATGAAGCAGAGCTGGACAAACCCGCTGAGGCCATGGAGGTGGACGCAACAGAAGCATCCACCACCGACGCAGTGGCAGCTGCCAGGAGCGAGACAGACACAAGCGCAGGTTGGTTATTCTCCGTCATGTTAGAAACCATTGAATCTTTTACAGGGAACAATCTGAAAAGTGTGGCATGCATTTGTATTCTGCCCTTTCGCAGCCGATACTTGGTAGATCCATCTTTTGCGAACTGTTTCAGCTGCAAGTCTTTTAGGGAGAGCATCTGACAACTTGGCACAATTTTCTGAACCTCCACAGATTCTCAATTAGATTGTAATCTGGACTTTGACTGGACCAATCTTACACATGAATATGCTTTTATCTCAACATGTGGTGTCCAAAATTTTTGGACACCAAATTGAAAGTACTATTTTTTTACTAGTTAAAAAGAAAAACATTTTGTTTTAAATATTATTTTTACCTACTGTGTAATAAAAAAAACATGCAATATTTAATTAAACCAAATTAAAAAAAAACACAGCATGAAAGAGAATCTCAGATGTTTCACTTAATAAGACAGACGCACAGATTCATAACTTTTTGGCTCACATCTTTGGTATTCATTTATTTATTTTTAGTCTACTCCCAGCGACAAAAATGAGAACTTCTGTATTTAGCCAAGCTTAATGAGTTGATGTTTGTGGCCCCGTTCTACTATAGTAAAAGGAAAGAAAAAAACATGCCAAATAAATAATAATAATAAAAAAGAGCTCTTGAGACGATCACAGACCGTCTGAATTTATCCAAATCCCTCAGTGTGTGCATCTCTAGACGGCAGACACTGGTGATGTTTGTAAGCTGCACAGTGGTCCACAGACTTCTGTTGTTATATCACATAAAGTCAACGTAAAATACATTGAAATGTGGTTCTTTAGACTGCAAAAATAAAAAAAATAATGCATAAAAACTGCTGTAAATGCATTTAGCCCGTTATCAGCCAATCAGATGACCAGACAGAATCAGCGTCCTATTTTCAGCCTCCCTCTGCCCCTTCACACACTCGTCTGTTTGCCTTTGGGACTCCCAACACAACTGGCATCCATTGCTTTCAGGTCTTACAAATAGGATAGTGATGCAAACAATAACGTTACTGTGAGATAACAGACTCATACATTTTGTTTTAAATACTAATTTGGTCTCTGTGCCCGAGTGGTTTTTCTTTCCAACAAAAAAGTAAAGAGATGCTGTTCTTATTTCCTGAAAACACTCAAATAAACACTCAACGTTACTGTCTCTAGATATTGTTAGAAATCAAGGAGGAGATTAAATAGTGCGTATCAGTCAGCGCGCCTCTTTTGTTTCCTGCCCCAGAGAGACATGTGAGACGGATGACCCGTGCCCTGAAAAACACGGTGCTGCAGCAGCACATGATCCCAGTGGACAAAGTTCTGCAGATTCTCAACGAGGAGAATCCTCCTCTGGTCGTGGACCGAGACAAGTTAAAGGTTTGTGATGTCACAAAAAACTGTACTCTTATTGGAGGTGAAGCTTAAAAACATCTGTAATTGCCTTGATCTGTTTTTTTTTTTTTCTTTTCTTTTCAATCAGGAGCTACTAGATAAAGTAGTGACAAAGACGGAAGACTATGAAGTTTACAAGCTGGAGAAACTCTACGCTCTGCTCTGCCAGAGCATCTACAGACACAGACAAGATTACAACAAAACAGCACTAATACAGGTTAGTTTGTCTTTTTTATTGATTTAAGAAGAGCATAGTAGGTTAAAATTTCATATTTACAGATATGTTTAAAAGATTTCTCTGATGTAAAATTCTGTTTTTGAGTTTTATTTCAAGTCGGACTTCTGTGATGTTGTTCATGAGTTGACATATTTCATGCTAAGTTGTCGTATGTCTGATTTATGTTCTTGTTTTTATCAGGAGTTGGAGCAAGAGATTGAAGACTTCTGATTCTTCACAAAAAAAAACAGAAAAAATAATCTTTCCTTCATACATGTAAATATTCAGACAATGGTCCTATTTTTTAGTAGGAAACAATGATTATATTTGTGATTTAGCTCAAACTTTGTATCACTTCTTGTTTATATGTAATTAAAGGGTTTTCCACCTGTTATTGTGCGCTTTTCCTTTGTTGCGCGACAAAACGTTTGAACTGACTGTAATGTCGCTACTGACAATGAAGCTTTTCTCAGTTTCTAGAAAATCCTTTTTTACGCTTTACTCAAAGCAAGACTGAATTACAAAGTATTTGTCGAGGATGTGCCACCGTTGTGTAAAATTTGATATAAACACATATTACTGGCATCACTGTTTAAAAACATTTACAGCACTGCAATGAAATACATTTTGCAATGCAGAAGCATCAGCTTCCACTGCCAATTTTGAAAAACGTAGCCTTTAATTAGAGTATATTTAAATCTTTGAAAATATGAAATGGATCATTCTGGAAACAACTGGGTCATTTTTGAGTCTTGAGTCTTTGCCTTTTTTTGTTTGTTTGTTTTTTATCACATCCAACGACGACTCAATTTCAGTTTCCTGTTGACCTTTGGTAAAGGAACTGACCCAGAGACCCTCCTCCATACTTCAGACAGCATAAAGCGCTTTTCCACATACATATTCCATGCTACGGACACTGGGATGACTTTGTTTGATCAAAGCACATAGATCCAATAAAAGCCAGAGGAGAGTTTAGTAGATGTTTACGTTTGTGATGGTAACACAGAAAATAACTGAGCAATCGTCAGCAGCGTCTACTGGCAGCCATGAAGATTTGATAACCCCAAAATGTCACTGTATTGAAATTCACCAATAGTAACCTTTGATTACTTTTGTTTCAAATCTATTTTTCCTGACCTCAGCAGAAAATCATTTTTAGATTCTACTGTGGATTTATCCAACTGCAATAAAATTAGTTTTAAAAGCATCTTTACCAGGAGTGCCTGCACATAAAGCTGGTTCTGTAGCAAGCATTTCTGATAAAATGGCTAAGAAATAACTAAACGGCCACAAAAGGGGATCTGTTATATCGGCTTAAAGTGTAAAAGATCAAATTGAAAACATGTCTGTGAAGTGTAGTAAGGGATATTTTCATTTATTTCTGTCCGGACTCAATGGTTGCATCAGGCAGTGACAGTAAGTGATTCTAGGGAAAAGTAGGTCATCAGACTGGTGACCTATCTCTTTCTGGACATGCTCAACAGAGACGATCTTAATAGAAAGCAAATATCCTCCACCTGGTCAGGTCACACACAGAATAGCTTCTGTTGGCCCTTTGGTCTTTGCCACATTTGATCAGGTATCGATCTAAATATGGATACTATCGATACCAAGGTGAATATTAGTACTGGATGGATAGTAGGGTGATGAAATCGCTACTTTTGTTTAAAGTTTCTCTTCCATATGTTCTGCAAAATTACTCTGATATCCTCACAGATTTCATGTTGGTATATGCAGGAATCAAAATACCAAATATTTTCATTTTTACATTTTTGACCTTTGTAGTGTTTGCAGTCAAAATGTCTGCTTTCTTTCAAATGCAATTTATCCCATAAGTGCAGTTTTGAAAAAAAAATCTTACTGCAGCTCAAAAATATACACTTATGGAAAGATGTATATCTTAAACCTCAAATATGAATATGGCTGAACATTAAGTATTGATGGGAAATAAGTGTTCCTATTTATATTACATGCAGATTAAAGACTCAGTTATCCTAATAAACATTTATGTTTAGTAGAAGGCCATCAGGATATTAAGTTATTTCTATCCTGCTACATTGTTGTCCAGTGTAGTTAAAAAATAGTCTCTAAGCATATAAAGATTTTATGCAAATCTTTATTTGCTTTAAATAAAGATTATAGGCAAATAAGTGCCTTGATTTATTTCATCAAAACCATAATTAAACTGAAACTGAATCGAGTTATTCAGTTACTTAGATGTTTTTTTTAAGTATTGGTATTGACGATACTAGTCCTGTATTATTTTGTATTGGGTCAACGCCAAAATGTACAGTATTGCAAACTTCTAGCTCCAAAACAGATTCTCTGACTACAAATTCCCCCACAGAATGGTGCTGCCACCACTGTGTTCAGCATAGTGTAGCCAAAAAGTTAAATCTTGGTTTCAACAGATCAAAGCATCACAGCAAAGGAGGCAGAATAGAAATGCATGCCACACTTTTCAGATTTCCATATTTGTAAATGCTTATAATAGTTTTTTTCCCCTTCCACTGCACAATGATGTTGTACATTGTGTTGGTCCATCACGCTAAATCTTTCTAAAATACCTAAGGTTAGGTTGCCAAAATGAGGAAAAGTTTAAAGGTTGTGAATACTTTTGCGAAGCACCGTATGCTAACTTTAGTGTACTCTTTTTTTGGTGTTGTTTTTAAAATATCCTATTAAACAGACCGAGGCAGCCAGCCTAATGTAATGAAAAGCAGCAGCCAGGAGGATCACCTTGGCTGAAACTAGCAGCGTGTCCTTAAGTAGCTTCTCATATTTCCCCTCGCAGGTCATTTAAGGACATTTTGGCACCCAGCCGAATCGGAAACGAACGCGTTTACGACCCTTTGCGCTGATTGTCCAACACCCAGCGCCCTCTCCGAGCCCACTGTGACTGCCTTATTCTGAAATACGGTCCGTATTTGCATTAAAGTGGGCATTTTTTCCATTAACTGCTAACATTTTTAAGATTCCCCGAAAGTCGCCGCGGAATGACGTCAAGACGTATTACATTGAATGATGACGCTGTTTGATCATTAAAAAAAAAAAAAAATCAGCCGTTAAAATATTTGAGAAATAGGTCATCAAAAAACAAAGCACCGGGCGGCCCTTTTTATGAGCAGCTAAGACGAGCCGTCTTGTGGCCGGGTGAACTTTTATGAGGAGCCGCTTTCTGGTGGGAGATAACCTGCTCGGACCAGCAGAGAGATGTCCGGTGTTTCCAGCATCAGCAGAGGAGGGCTGTAGCCGTTAAAGCGGTCCGTCTGTCTCGGCTGGCTCTATTTTATTTCATTTTTTAGGGAGATCCAGCTGCTTTAATAACTCACGTAAACGCCGCAGCCGCCGCGGCCGGGCTGAATGCTTAGCCCGAGGAGAAAGCAACACCGACGGATACCGACAGGGAGCACCTGGAGGCTGCTCTGCCGAGACCCAGGAAATCACTCCTCGCTTCGCCTCTACAGCCTGGTAGCAACACAGTGCACATTACTGTAGTTCTTGTAAGTTTACCGCCAGACCTCATAATGACCGGCCCGGCTAACACGGGCTAGTTGGCCCGCCGCATTAAAACGCTCCTGTGTCGCTGAAAAACAGCCTTTCGTGTTGTCTTTGTAACATATGGTAATGCTTTATTGTTACTTTAATAATAACAAATGAGCTAGCTGACACCTCCACATTTTCGAGGTGCTGGTGTTAAAACCTCTCAGTGGTAGCAGAGCTGTGTGAACGCACAGTAGTTATATATTTATAACCAGTGATACATTTTAACGCCGTTAAGTGATAAAAATGTGTCCCAAAGCACTTTACAGTGTTTATAAAGGCATTGGTTTTACACATTGGTCATGTGGATGGAGCAGTGAAGGGGCTCTGCAGTATTTCTCCAAACAGCCTCCTAAACAAATATCTATGCTTATTACTTAGGCTATACCACACTGGCCTGAACTATGAATATAAAACAATTGAATTTTGTAAAAAATAAAATAAAAAAAGTCGAATATTTTGTTGTCTTTTCATGAAGTGAAAATCATATAAAGACACAAGGTTTCAAGACTTTGTGTCCGATTTTTTTTTTCCTCACATGTTGCGAAAAACCAATATTCAGTGTTTCAGAAAATTAGAATATAACATTACAAGATCAATAGAAAATTGTATATTAAATAGAAAATTCTAAAGTATGTTAATTTCTATTCACTCAGTACTTGGTTGGGCCTCTTTTTACATAAATTACTGCATCGATGTGGTGTGGAGTGGATGAAGTCAGCCCTGTGGGTCTCCTGAGGTTTGATGGAAGCCCAGATCTGCCTTCAGGTCATCTGCATCTCTTGGACCTGGTGTTTCTCGTCTCTCTCTTGACAATAACCTTATAGATTCTTTATGGGGGTTCAAGTCAGACCAGTTTGCTGGCCAATAAATCACAGTGACACCACACTCATTAAACCAGCTTTTGGTAGCCTGACTGTGGAAACTTCACACTTGACCTCAAGCGACGTGGATTCTTTGCCTCTCCACTCTTCCCACAGACTCTGGCACCTGGATTTCCAAACAAAATGCAAACTTCATTTCCAAATGAAAATAATGCTTAAGATCACAGAGCAACAGTCCAGTTATTTTCTCCTTAGCCCAGGTAAAAGGCTGCTGACCCTGCCTCTGGTACAGAAGTGGCTCTTGCTGTGACGCCAGCCTATGAAGCTTCCCTATTTACCCTATTTTCTTGAATGGATTTCTATTTACTGTCCTCTCAAAGCTGCAGTTATCCTTCCACTCAACTTTCCGTGAATATGCTTGGATACAGCACTCTGTGAACAACCAGCTTCTTCTGTGGTTTATCCTCCGTCATTGACGGTCTTCTGGACAGCAGTCGTCCCCATTATTGTGTTTCCTAAAAAATATTGAACTTCATATTTTTTTTAGATGTACGTTTAGATGCTACTTAAAGTGCAGCTTTGGCGCTTTAAATGCAGACGTGAAAATCAGGTTTTCCGTGCAAAGAAATAACTTAAACCTAATAATATGAAGACGTATTACAGTTTTGACGGCCTACTCAGTTTTCCTCTACGGTATCCAGCATGTCAGAGGCTGAAAAGTTTAGTCAGTGCAGATTTATGGCCAGTTGGCTGGACGCTCTTCATCTTGGCCAATGGTTCACTTCTGCTGCCAACCTGTGCAGTTTATTTATTTGCGATTTCCTCTTTGGTACGTTTCTGTCACGGCGCAGTTCTGAAATTTCATTCATAATAGTACTGAGACGGTGTTAAAAGAGAAAATCTTACATTTGAGTTGGTGAAACCTGCATAAAACCTTGAAACACCTACTATGTTACACTCACGTCCACTCCCACACAGTTTCCAAGCCATTGCAGGAAATTAAGGAATCATGAATTCGATTACTGAATCCCGGCGAGGGGGAGGCATGTATACGACCTTAAGATGTTCCCTTTATTTGTGTTTTCCATTCAGAGAAACGGGATTCCAAGAATCCAGCTCATCAACTCACTGACCTGCAATATGTGAACCTGGACAGCTCGGCCGCAACACGAGTACGAGTCAGTCTGAATCGAAGATGTCGAGCCGCCGGAAGTCCACCACGCCCTGCATGGTGCTGCCTTCGGACGTGGTGGAGCAGGAAGCCGTAGAGGAGAAGACGGAGAGAACAAAGGAGGACGAGGCAGGGGATGAGGAGGAGGAGGAGAGGAAGGGGAAGGAGGCGACGGAGGAGCTTGGCCAGGCGGTGGTAGTTGTTCCCACTCCACCGGATTCAGGTGAGGCCCTCACAGAACTGAGTGGTTGTGGATCTTTGTTACTCAGACTTAGAGAACTAAGATACGAATATGAACAGGGTAGAACATGTCAAACTTATGGCCTGCGGGCCAAATCCGGCCCGCCGTAGATATTTTCTGTGGCCCTCTAGACCAGGCGTTTTCAACCTGCGGATCCAGAAATATCATGCTATAAAATTAGTGTTAATAAAAACACTAGTTGTTTTCATGTAATAAGAAAGAATATTCTCTTTAAAAAGTAAATTTTTTTGTCTTTTGCTTGCCAAGTATGAGCTTTTTTTCTATTAAAAATTATACGTACTATTGAAAAATTGTGTTCATTCCTTTTGTGTGAAAAAAAGTTTGAGAACTTTATTTGTAAACCTAAAAACATGAAAAGTGCTTTTGACTCATTTTATAATCAAGCCATTTTTTTAATAACCTAAGCTAAATAGGCCCCAAATGAAAATAAGTTCAGAACATTATTATTATTTCCCCCCTGCAGATGAAGCCGGCGTCTCCAGCGCCGACGACCTTAAAGTCGTCGGCTCCACACTGAAGTCCAGACCGAAAGATTCGCCGGAGGACCCGAGTTGCGATCAGACCGCGCAGGAGCCGCAGAGCGACTCGGCCGGGGCGGGAGGAGCGGACTCGGCTGCGGCTTCGGCCATCTCCCTGAGCAAGACCCCGATCATGAGGATGAAGACCAAGTCCGAACCCAAGAGGATCGCCGTTTCCCTCAAATCCTCTGATGAGGGAGCGGGGGAGGGCGTGGGGGGAGGAGGAGGAGGAGGAGGAGGAGGAGACGGGGAACTGGGAGGGGAGCAGGAGCCCATCGAAGCCCCGCTCGGACCGATGACGCCCGTGGAGAAGCTGCTGCACAACTCCATGAAGTTCGGAGGAGGGGGCCTGCTGGTCAGCCCACCGTCAGAGCAGCTGAGAAAATCTTCCATTTTAAACCCCACAGTTCTGCCTGCTGGTCTGGCACAGGTAGAGAAAACCTCAAAGATTTACTGCTTCTTTATTTAAACATGAAGTGTTCATACCGCTTCAAATTTATCACTTCACATCCACAGCTTTCTTTTTACTGGGATTTTTTTTTTTTTTTTTTGTGAGAGACGTTCTAGTAGAAGAAAACTGATATGTGGTGTTTAGGGCTGAAACGATTAATCACATTAATTGGGATTAATCGATTATTGAAATAATTGACAACTACTTTAGTTATCAACTAATCGTTAGCTGGAGTATTCAGACTCAAAAATAGGCCATTTTGCTTAAAAAAAAAACAAAAACAAAAAAAACTGATTTAACATTGTATTAAGATAAATCTGTTCAAAAATATACAAATTTTGCGTTCAAGATAAAAATACACTTATATTTTACCCAAAACTCCTCAAGTGACATACACAGTTAGCTTTGCCTACCTCAAATTCTGAAAAACAAATCTTCTCAGCACCGTTTGCTGTCCAGTTATCAGTCGGTTATTTAAAGATCATCGCTGCACTATGTTGTTAAGTCGAGCAGAAAGAGCCGAGCATTTAACATGTTGATCGTAGAAGTAATTTTTTTTTTTTTTTTTTTGCTGCAGAAGCATCCTTTGCTACAAATGATCAAGTGTACACTAAATGAATACTGCTATTGAATTTTAGGTAACAAAATATTTATTTTCTTATTTAGAAAAGGAATTAAATTATTTAAATCTGAAAAATATGCAGATTTTTTTTTAAATCCAATTAATTGGTTAATGTCAGAATAATCAATAGATTAATCGATTACTTAAATAACCGTTAGTTACAGCTCTAAAATTTGGTTAGAATTAGTATTTGTGTTTTGATTCACATTGGAACCGTTTCATACAATCCTGATAAAATCCGTCAAAGTTTGTGGTTGTAACATGACGAAATGCGGAAAAACTACTAGGCTTATGAATATTTGTGCAGTGCTCTGTTGTAGGGAAATGTGTTGCATGCCACCAGCCCCCTAAAAACTCACTTTGAGCCTTGGGAAAAGGACAGGTAATTCCCAGCTGAGTCGGTGTCCTGTTCAGGGACGACACCTTTAGTTCACACCTTTGATACTGAATAGCAAACATCTGCAGCAGCTGCTGTGTTTAACGGTGTTCGCCCTCTCTGCCGCCATGCCAGGTGCTTTCAGCGTTCCAGGCCCAGCAGAGTGCAGCAGCCGCAGCAGCGGCCGTCTCTCAGTCCCAGCTGCTGATTCCTCTGAGCAGCATCCCCTCCTACAGTGCAGCTATGGACTCCAACCCTCTTCTGATCAACACTTACAGGAAGTTTCCTTACCCCTCCCTGGCAGAAATAAGCAGCCTGGCATCACAGACGCAGTTCACAGAAGAGCAGATCAAGGTAAAAGATCACATTGTTTTTCATCATCAAAAGTGTTTTTTTTGTTGTTGTTTTTTTTCCTGTCTTGCTTGAACTAGAGACATTCGATCTGTGCGCAGGTGTGGTTCTCGGCCCAGCGTCTGAAGCACGGCGTCAGCTGGACTCCAGAGGAAGTGGAGGAGGCCAGGAGGAAGCAGTTTAATGGGACCGTGCACACAGTGCCTCAAACCATCACCGTCATCCCCGCGCACCAGCTGTCCGCTGCGGCGAACGGCCTGCAGTCCATCCTGCAGACCTGTCAGATTGTGGGCCAACCTGGCCTTGTGTTTACACAGGTAGGCAAAGAAAGAAAGAATGTTCCGCATTTCAATGAGCGGGGATGCAGCTCTGGATTTCAAGCTTGCTGTGTGAACAATGTCTCAGCTGGACCGAGCTTGAGCTTAAGAAAACATACCTGGAGCGTTGCCTTGATTCTTTCATGCGTGTTTGAGGAATCCTTTAATTTCCCGTGGCAACCATTCAGCTGTGCAAAATGCCTGGGTGGACTGACCGCCTCCTTGGAGCTTCACTTTCCCAGTTTCCAAGCTTCCGCCTTTCAGAGTAGCCCTGCCCCACTCAGTTCCTTCAGACTAGCCAGCAGCAATTAGCACTAACACCTAGTGGAACTGCGCATCTCCTGAGCTCATCACGCGAGCTACTTCTCAGTGAAACACTGGTAAAAACGTCGTTAAAGGTTTAACAGAGGAGACTTGTTGTGACGACTTCCTGAAAGTGGAGTTTCAGAAAGAGCAGGAGTTTTTAAAGACACACATATATATATATATATAGAACATTTTTATAACACAGGGTAATGTAGTTACTTGATTATGCTATAAAATGGCACTGTGCGGTATGAAAACAGATAATACTTCCCTTTAATACATGCTCCTTTCACAATTATGCATTATTTTTGATGGTGTGTGACATTAAATCCTGCTAAAACATAACGATGTTTGTTGCTGTATAGTCGTAAAACATGCATGAGAGCCAGACACAGTGATCTCTGTATTTGTTTACCACAGGTTGGTCCAGGTGGGAATCTTCCAGTGACTAGTCCAATCACGTTGACTGTGGCAGGTTTGCCCAGTCAGTCTCAGAGCTCCAGCAGAGTTTCCTGTCAGTCCACGCCGACAAACAGTGAGCTAAAACGGGCTACCACAGTCCAGCCTCCCTCTCTGTCTCCCCAGGTTGGGAAACCTTTTACATCCGGATGCGCTTGCTGTTTTAGTAGCAGATTTAGGATTTTCACCATCTAATTACACTGGTGTTTCTTAAACGTTGCACTAACGCCTTGTTTAGAGTTTACATCATTTGCCTTTTTCCCGTTTGCTACCTTATTGTGTAAAATGACACAACAGGAGCACCATGTTGATGGCTAACTTTTTCCCCCTCCCTCTCCAAGGAGAACTCAGCCCTCAGTGCTGACTCGTTCAGTCTGAGACCTAAGAAATCCAAAGAGCAGCTGGCGGAGCTGAAAGCCAGCTACCTGAAGAACCACTTCGCCTCGGACGCGGAGATCGCCCGGCTGATGAAGCTCACCAACCTGACGAAGGGCGAGATCAAAAAGTGGTTCAGCGACACCCGCTACAACCAGCGCAACTCCAAGAACAGCCACGTGATTGTTTTCCACGACGGAGGGGGGCGAGGGGGGAGCAGTTCGAGCAGCGCTGCCAACACCCCTATAGTCATCGACTCGAGCGACGAGACCCCCGCGTCCCCTCACCCTCCGAGCACTTCCCCTGTGAAGGAGAAGGAGAAAGAGACCCGAGTCAAGACCTGGAACCCCTTCCCAGACTTCACTTTGCAGAAGTTTAAGGAGAAGACTCCCGAGCAGCTGGTGGTGCTGGAGGAGAGCTTCGAAAAGAGCAGCATGCCGTCGGACGAAGAACTGAGTCGTCTGAGGACAGAAACCAAGCTGACTCGGAGGGAGATCGACGCCTGGTTCAACGAAAGGCGGAAAGTCCCCACCGCGAGTACGTCCTCGCCAGAGTCGTCCGAGGGAGGAAAGATCGAAACGGATAACTCGAAGGCAGAGGAAGCAGGTGAACTAGGAGGCTCAAGCAACTCTCCTCCGTCTGCCTCCTCGTCTCGAAAGGGGAGTCAGACTCCTCCAGGAGGTCGCAGCAAGCAGCTGTCCGGCGGCGGCTGCAGCAAGAAAGACCTTAAAGAGAAAAGCAAAAAGACTCCAGAGCAGCTCCACATTCTAAAAAGTGCCTTTGTGCGGACGCAGTGGCCCACGCCGGAGGAGTACGACCAGCTGGCAGAGGAGAGCGGCCTTCCCCGCCATTACATCGTCAGCTGGTTCGGGGACTCTCGGTACTCCTGGAAAAACGGGAACCTGAAGTGGTTCTTCCAGTACCAAAGTGGCAACGTCGAGGGACCGAGCGAAGGAGGCGGCGGCGGCAAAACGGGGGGCAGCGGTCGGAAAAGGCGTGGTCGGAATCGCGGCTGGGGGCGGTCCAAAACCAGGAAGCAGCCAAAGAGGTCCTCCTCCTCTTCCAGCGCAGATGTCAAAAGATCCCCGCCATCAAAGAAATTCAAGACTGGGCGGGAAATCCTGAAGGAGTATTACCTGAAGCACCACTTCCTCAGCGAGCAAGACCTGGATGAGCTGGTCACCAAGACCAACATGAGCTACGAACAGGTGGGCGACGGAGATTTTAAAAGAAAATACCCAGAAGCTAAATGCATAAATAGGGTGTCAAAATGGGGTATGGGATTTTTTTTTTATTGTTCTTTCTTTTATTATGTCGCTTTAATTATTAGTAATGAATGTTCAAAACTCTATACACACTATAGGAGTGGTTAAACAATTGTAAGCTGAAATAACACAAAGTTGGTTAGAGCACCATTCCATCTTTTCCCTTCCTGATTCAAATACTGGAAAACAAAAACTTGTTAAACTAGTGCTTAACTATGCAAAAACAGGATATGACACGTTAAAGAGACACTTCTGCTTTTTCCACATTTTGTCTTTCACGACAAAATCTGGCCGACTGATGCCGCCTTATCACACCTAGCTTTAGCTAACAAGGACTTTCTTCAGTAGAAAATGTTTTATCTTTTTTGCAGTATTGAGCTACATCCAGTGAAAATTAACCTGTTCAGGTATTTTAAATGGCTAACTTCTCCTTAACATGGACCGGAGTTTGGCTAACTCTCGGGCTTCAGCTACCCGGGGAGTTTCTTCAATTCTTTATAAACGTATTGTAATTGGACATATTCCTACAGCAGACAACTATTACAGGTAGCCTAGTAGAACCTCTTTTCAAAGAATTAGAACTAATATTTAATATTAGTAATGACCTTTTTGCTGTTAGCTAGCAGTGCACAAGCTCGTCTTGGCTCAACTCTACTCGGTTTGGGTAGTTTTCCGTTAATATTGAGTAACAGCTCTAGGTAATTATGGGGCCCCAAAGTTCAAAAAGTAGTGCGATGTGATCGCTATGCGACATAAACTGAACACAACCCGATAAAAGAGAACATTCTACGGTCTGCCATTGTCCTTACAAATGTGCTGTTTTGACTTTTTAAAAATTATGAGCCGTAATATTTTAAGGGAGTTGCTCTTGTGACGCAACCAGTGACCGTCAGTCTTCTGACGTTGCATTTTCATTCCGGCAGTATGAGATGTCACCCTGCTGGTCCAAATGAAAGAAAATATGTTGCACTCGTTCCACGTCTTATTTGACATTTTAAGCTGTGTCTCTGTCTGTGAAAAGGTGAGGGAGTGGTTTGCTGAGGTCCAGCGGCGCTTGGACTTGGGGTTGGATCCCTTCCTGGAGCCCGGAGCTGCGGGGAGAACGGGCGGGGACAAAGCTGCGCGGGACGACGAGGAGGAGACGCATGGAGAGAGATCGGAGAACACCGAGGAGCCGGCGGGCGCAGGAGCGGGAGACGAGGAGGACGATGAAGACGACGAGGAGGACGACGGCGACGAAACGGACGACAGTGAGGTTTGGGAGCCGTCACGTAGCGTCAGGAAAAGCTTGTCCCTTTCCGAAGACTAAAGACTGACATTTGGCCTGAAAATTGACTTGAGTTAGGCCGATACCGGTCAGTTAGGTAAATTAAGTTTTATTTGTGTCCTTGTTTGCTTGCCACTGACGTGCATGAACAAGAACTATTTCACTGTCCAGTCAAGTCCACATGAGAGTAATAATACACCAATTATTAGCTTTAGGTCAAGATCAAACTTTGACAGAGGTCATAAAGCAGCTGCTGCAAAATTAACTTTAAAAGAAAAAAAAAGTGTTAAAACTGAGCTGAGAATGAAAACTCCCACTATATATCATTCAGAAATAACAGATTAAAGCAAAAACTAGCTAGCTAGGAAACCTGGTATGTATAGTGGAAAGCACATGGGAAAATCTATCTTCTTCAGGATTGTGAAGGTAGTCAAATCATCAGCTACAATTATCTGTGTTTGATCTCTGATAATCAAGTTTAAAGACTGACAGAAAACCACAAATTTTTACGTTAAAGCTCACACTTCCTGCTTTCCGAAACCGACAACAATTTCGTCACGCCGACGTTAAAGCGCGTTAGATTTAAAGTTAAGTCTGAGTCGCATCAAAATGCGACATTAGGACTAAATCATGAATCTAAATCCAGGATTCGTTGTGGATATTTATTCTAGCGTCTGAAATTCATTTAAAACGGCTGTTTGGTTTTATGCTTCACCAGGAGTTGCGATGACATTTTAGTCCGAGGCTGAGGCTTCACTTGGCAATAAAACGAGTAGCCAGATGCTGCATGAATGCAAATGCTAAAACGCTTTTAAATAGTACGGAATGTTTTCCCTTTATACCGCCTTACCGCTTCATCGATATTATTACGAGTTTTTAACTGAACACCTGCAAATTTGAACGGCGGCGACGCCACTGAATGTGTGTGAATTGAACTGCTGATGATGTTTTTGAACATTTTCCTTTCTTTTTTTCCACTTTTTGATAAAAAAAAATATATATATATATGCCATGTGCTTTTTTGACCCTTTTTTAAAAAGAGATTCTTAGATTCAAACAGTAAACATGCTGTGCCAAAGCTGAAAGTGGTGCCTCCCATGCAAGACGGCAATTTGTGGCAGGAGACACTGGAGAACAAAGCAAAGCCCACTGTGAGGTTTAAATCTAGTGAAATCAGGCATAAAAAGATCATGTCACGATTCTAATAAGAACAAAGTGACTGACTCGCGATGTGTAGATCTTTGTGTCCTGACCCATACTGTAAGAAGAAACTGTTTAACAGTATTTGAAATTATAATCTGAACCCATTCTGCACTGAAACCTTCCCCCCAGCCCCCAACCTAAAGCACTTAAACTCATCTTTAAAAGTTTGCACTTTTTCCACTTGATTAGGCACCTTAAGTCTCACATTATACCATGAAATGGCTCTGAGAGACCAACCCTGTTTTTTATGACTAACCAGTATTTTGCCTTTTATATTCCTTCTGTTTTCACACATGAAGGGATATAATCAGTGTATTGATTTTTCTATTTATATACCACGTGTTTTAAAGAGCTGGACATTTGTAACTGCTCAAAAAAAAAGAAAAGAACAATCATGCACCATTTTTTCTGCACTAAAAATAATGTTGTATTATTAGCCCTGCGTTTTGATAACCTGTCGATTTGACGAAGCCTAAAAGTTGTTTTTGTTGACTGTTTCGCTTTAAATGATAGGAGCTTGTTTTGTTATTGCTCCGTTCGCCCCTTGATGACTCCTTATGCCTTTTTATTGAGTCTTTTTTGTCAGACCCGTGACTAGACTCATGATGTGCACGTCCCAGCAGCGTTCTGTTGAGTTCCCTTTTGTCACAGACTTGACACCCTGGGGAACCAGAAACCAAAAGACTGAAAAACTGTTCCAGTAAACAAAGAGGACGGTCTCAGTTGTGATGAAGAAGCAGGACGGCCTCCTCTTTTCTGTGGAAAATCTACCAAACGACGCCCCCGTTTACTGCTTTAAAAAGAAACGGTACGACGATCTAAAAGCTGTCCCAACTACTGTTCGTCGGTGACTCCGATGGCTAAACCTTCGTGCCTACACGGCTCCTACACTTGTTTTGAACTCGAGTTCATGAACTCTTCAATGTGAAAATTAAAAAAAAAAACAAAAAAAAACCCTTCTTAAACACGTTTTCTTCAGACTAAATAATGTTCAAACTCTGCTTTCCTCCGACATTAGAAGATGACCGGAACCTGAAACGGATTTCAGAAAGTCTGCTTTTTAAGTCTTTTAACGAAGCTACTTGTATTTTGTCGCCAGGCACTTGTCACAGCCAGACATGGAAACGTTCGGTTTCCCTCACGGCGTTTATATGATCTCGTTTTTGAACAGACTTTTGACTGTTGGCTGTAATTTATCTTGATTTTAGGAACTGACAGAGAGCTGACTTTATGCATTTTGTCGTTCAGTGACAAGTGCCTGTCCATGACATGAATAACCTGTAATGTTGAAGTGTACTTTTGTCATATGTTGCATGCGATAGCCAGAACAAACATCTCATGTTGTACATACGAAATGTGAGGTTGGTGGACTTGGGACAGTCTGATCAGGGCTAAGCTGCTTTTGTGGTTTCAATAATACCTGATACATTTTTCTTATCAGACTTCAACAATGAGTTAATTGTCATGATCATGACTCTAGAGACATTTGTTTAATATCAAAGTTAACTCCTTTGATGCAAACATAAAAAGGTACCTTTCCACTGTGTTACTCTGAACCATTTCCTCCAAGTACTTCCAGTATTTTCCAGGAACCTTTTAGATATCCTCTGTCTTTTTCTTGAGTGTGTTTCCAGCGATGAGTTCAAAACCATTGTATTGATGTAAATGAAGCTTTTAGGCTTTTTGTTACCATATACAAAGAGGCAATACTTATTGTTTTCAAGCAGCATTCAAACTCAATCGCTGATTCAGATTTGTTCGTCTGTGGATGCAGATATCAACCCACGGCAGACGTTGGCCTCAAAGATTGCATTCTTTACAACAAACCTGTAAAGTAAAGTCTTTGAATAGATTCCTGTTTCTCTATAAATCCACAGGCATCCCCGTGTTTTGTTCACATTTCAAGATGAGATGATTGTTACCACACCATGCCACAAAGTGATCCACCAGCTCTTTGTACTCAGCTTCTTGTCCATTTCTGATCCATCTGGTAATGGAGGCATTGTCTGAGTATTTCTGCAGATGACAGGAGTCTGACTTGTACTGGAAAGATTAGTTTACAGAGTAAAAAGAGTGGTGTGAGGACCGTTCCCATGGCACTCCTGTGCTGCTGACCAACTGGTCAGACATTTCACTCTTCAGTCACACCGATACCAACCCAGGGGTTTATTCTGCTGCCTTTACTTGTAAGCATTTCTTCCAAAGTCGTTACATTCTGAAACAGAAGTAAAATCAAAGCCATTAGACATTCGTAATATGCTAAAATTATTTCAGTTTTAAATAAGTAATGCAATCATGGTGCAGCAGAACTTCCCAGCTTCCCTTTTACCTAGCATTATGAACTCTGTAAGCCATTTAAACTTTACTAAAACATGTTTTTGAGCTGCTCTCTCTAAACCCAAATATCCATGCTTAATTTAATTCATATTCCTCTAAGCTGATTTTACCAATGCATTTTGAACATACAGCTTGGCTTGAATGTTTGCAAGCAAAAATAGAAATTATTCCTCATGTATCAGTTAGTATTACCAGCAAATATTCACTTTCAATTTGAATATAAAGACAAAACAGCATTTTCTTTCCCCAGTCCAGATGATATGGATAAAGCAACATCTTCATGAGAACAGAACCTGCTAAGGCGTTAGCGCTCTGCCAGCTGCAGGATCCAGCTGGATTCTCAGATATCGCTATGGAGACGGCCAAAATAAAAACACAGCTTTCTCCTTATTTACAGACGTACGCGCTCTGTGCTGGTGTACTTGCTGCTGTGAATCATTTCGTTAGCCAGGGAGCAAGCGCAAAGAGGAAGAAGGCAGCGGCACGGCCGTTTTCCAGCAGTCTACAACCCGCCGTCCGTCTCCATGCTTGATGCATTTATGTGACTCGACTGTAATTGGTTCTGAATACATACAGAAAGAAGCGCTACCTCTCTACCCGGGCAGTAGATTTCTACTCTGGTAATGTGATTCCATCCTGGTTCCCTCAGTGGAAACGGCAGAGGTAAAAGGTTCCTGCGGTGAGAATATGCTATGAATTACAGTTTACAGCAGAACGATCTCTCTACGTGGAGCTGCCACGTGTCATGTCAACAAACGCCTGGTACCGTTTCAGAAGTGTTCGACTCTCTAGACGTTCACGCAGACAGAGAGTGGTTTAGTCCACAGGTTAGGCCTCCTGCTCCCAGGTCTCCAGCCCTCACCGTTTTACTGTGTGCTATTTCCTTTTCACAATAATCTGTCCCGAATGGCCGTGTCCGCTTCTGTAAATACAAAAAAAAATAAAAAATATTGTCGTCACATCGCTTATAGACATTCAGTGAATAGATGTTGAACAGACTGACTCCTGCAACGTTTGGTCTGTCCAGGTGCCATATTTGTTCACCGCGTCGTGATTCTGTCCCCGGCCCTCATCATGTATCCCAGTTAACTTTGTGCTGATGGTCTAAGAGCGAACATTGTGATCTGAACCGTTTACCTGCTGTGTCATTTCTGTACCCTTTACTGTACTTCTGCTGTAGTCCTCACCTGTTTAATTTAGACGGCTAGATGGTGGAACGATCCTCACAGCAATCGGTCATCTTTAGACGAACCCCGGGTCCATCCTGTCAGAGGGTCAACCATGTACAAACAAAGTAAAATGTCTTTTTAAAACCACTTTGAGTGCTGTTTTCTTTTTCACGTTTGCTCTTAAAATTTTCATAGTTTGCTTCTAAAGCTGAACACAGATTTATTTCTCATCAGTAATTCAGTTCATTTCTGCTTAGTTGTAAATCATTAGTTCAAAACAAATGTCATTTCATTGCACTTTGTGTAAAATAATAATACAGTTTATATACAGAAATATATCAAATCAAACAGTGAATCCTAAACTTATTCATCTAGTTGAGAGACTCTGGCCGGATCATTAAGAAACATTAATATTACTTCAAATCAAAAAACAATATGTTGATAAGTAAAGATAAATAACAGGTCAGTTCTACTAATGCGGTTTATTCAGGCTATTGAGGAAAATGAAATACTATATAAAGAGGTCCTTTTGTTTTTATTTAGTCTCTTACTTTGCATAAACTTTCATATTGAATAACCAGTCAATATTATATAGAGAAAATATGACTTGTTATCAGGAGAAAACTCCTTTTGAACATTTTTCTCTTGTGTGTAGCACAGAAATGGTCAGCGTATATTTTTTACAGTGATGTTAAAAATAAAACAGCATCATTGGTTAAAATTATATTGCAGATTTTCACATGGAATCTAATAAAAGCCTGAACATTTAGAAGAACAAAGATGTGAATGAACAGCTTGTTGCCGACCCGGCTTCCATGAAACCGGTAAAGAGGACATAGATAACATTTCTTGGAACAGTATCAGAACATGAAATCAGATGCAAAGGTTCAGGTTAACCTGAGTTATTAAGTTAATATTTGCAGATATCACAGTTTATGTTCATAAAGTGCTGTCTAACCTTTGTTCTACTGATTACTGAGAAAAGTATAAATAATGTTTAATACCCAATTTTTTCTGGTCCGTCATTTCATTTCTACCTTATGAGAGATGCCCATCTGATTACCTATCAGAAACAAACCTTTTGATTGAATTAAAATTTAGAATCTAAATCGGCCAAGGTTATGACTTAACTGTAATGTCTTGTTAAATACAGAACTTGACCTTAATTGTCACCATTATCATCTGGAAGAAATTCAACAGCCTGATCTATAATTAGACATGTCCTCTGGCTCCCTCTAGTGGTTGTTTCATCGAACAGTTCATAACCGGTTTCTGCTACGAGCTCCACTGATGCACTTTGTAATTTAATGTTCTGTATTACAGCCTTCAGAATAAAATCTCCCTCTGAGCTTTAATACCCATGAATCCAGTCATATTTATATTAATAAATGACTGACATCATGAAGCATTTAGAACCTGGGTTCAGTTCATTAAAGTTCTCTTTGATCAAATTAAATACCATTAAGCTGCTGTCACTCATATATTTGTCCATAAAGTGGATCTGTTTAAATGTGGGGGCTGCACAGTGATGCAGCTAGTAGAGCTGTTGCGTTGCACCAAGAAGGTCCTGGGTTCAATTCCCGGTCTGGGGTCTTTCTGCATGGAGTTTGCATGTTCTCCCTGTGTGTATGCATCCGGGTACTCCGGCTTCCTCCCACCATCCAAAAACATGACTGTCAGATTGATTGATCGATTGATTGGGTGTGTTTATCCTGTCCATCTCTGTGTTGCTCTGCTCTGTTGTCCATGGTGTACCCCGCCTCTTGTGTAAGATCATGTTTAATGTTTAGATTGATCAAAAAGTAATAACTCAGAAACAGGAAGAGCAGAGGAGTGAGTGAAAGCCCTTATTCATACAACGCCTTCTGCAAAACGCAAAGTATTTGCATCTCTTGACACAACAAAACAAGCACAGTGCCACATTTCTTATTCTTATTTTGGGAGCTGATGGAAATAAGATGCAAAAGTTAAGTAAAGATGTTCCAAAGTTGACTGAACTTTGCATCTCTTGACACAACAAGAGTTGACTGAACTTTGGAACATCTTTGCATTTCTATTATGAGCATCAATTTGAAGCGAGGACCATCTGCGGAGGTTGGTGTGGGTATCATGACCTAAACCTAAACTGAGTTAGTTTTTGTTTTGATGAAGGAGAATGCAAATGCCAGTTTGTTTGTTTTTTTATAATGAGTATAATATTAGAATATTTTCATAATCTGAAACATTTAAATGAGACAAACAAGTTGGGCCGTTATGCAGCCGTCTGGACTCTGATTTCCAACTTTAAGATCTTTGCTGCTTGTCCTCTCCCATTTCCTCTCTGTTTCCTATACAATGAAGGCCAGAATACGTTTGCAACTGTCCTGTGTGTGAATCTATTTGCTGTATTCCCTATGTCTTGTGTTATTTCATGGATTCTCCTTGCAAGTACAAATGTTTTATAAAAGTTATAGATCATGTATTTTATGATTATTATTTATTTTCTTATATATTGCATTTAAGAGTTGACACGTCTCACTTTGTCCCACACAAGCTCTCTCTGTTAAGGTTGTTAGGATCTAATGCAAATTAGATACAAAAACAAACAGCAGTAACCATGGATTAGTATATGTTATACAGTTGTGTAATTTGAAACCCTCCATTATAAAACATGAAACTGGATCTCATCTACATGAGCTTAGAGAGACAAACCCGCTGAAAGAGGAGAGAAGCTACATCAACCCAAACTGACTCTTATTTTACTTATTAGTAGAGGAGGAGGAATCAGGGAACATCCTCTGGTCTGAATATAGTTTAGTGAAGAAAAAGTCATTTTAGTTTGTTTGTCCTCCAAAGATGTTGTGGATTCTGTTCTTCATCTCTCTGATTGGTAAGCTGCTCATTTACTTTATAGTTTGACATTTTAATACTATAAATATTTTTTAAAAAGCCCTAACAGTTTAGTTTTACTGTCAGTGACCTCCTACTTTATCCCACAGCAAAAATAATCCCAAACTTCATAATAAGAGTTTAATTTCAGGGTCTGAAGCAGAAGTTTATGAGTATTAATGACTGTATTCAATCTGAAAATGGCTTTGACATTTTCCACTATAAAACTTTATTTTTTTCATTTTTCTCTGCAGGAAGGCTGTGTGCAAGTGATGGCTCAAGTAGGTTCAATGTGTTTTTTCTTTGATATCCATTTAATATTTAACTTTTCATGTCATAGTTTTATTGTAGATAACTCTCATATGAAGACAAATAAGCCGTAAAATGATTGTCATGTGAAGATCAACACATTGAAGTTAAATTCTCTGTATTTTGAAAGGTTCATTCACAGATGGCTGCAACACACCAAATATAAATCTGAGGGACAAGAAAGCATACCAGTCTACAACCTATGATGGGTTCTTCACAAAATACAGTGCTTACAGAGCCTTTGATGAGTATCATTCAACATGTTCTTACACCGAATATCTGACTAACTCCTGGTGGACTGTAGACCTGCAGGGTGTTTACAACATTACCTGCATCTCTATTTTTAATGATGACAAATGGTATAGATCTACACCAGACATATCAGGTGCCAAGATCTACATCGGGAACTCTCATCAGAACTTCAGCACCAACAACAAGCTGTAAGAGTTTCAATTACCTTAAACTGATTTATTTTACATTTGAGTCTTTTTCATGTGTTTCATCCAATGCAGTCATTCTTTTTCTGATCTTCAAAATACATATTTAATCATTTGGTTGTTATGCTCCGAAGAGCCAAGAGGTAATAATCAACAGAGATTAAAGTTGATTAACAATATTTATTGCTTCTCAGATAAGGGGGTTTCCCATTAAACTTTATCCATCTGTTGTTAATCCACTAACATTTGACACAAAGTGACCCGAAAACAAAACCACAGGACATACAAACAAAAAAAAAAAGAAAAACAGTTAGTCCACCCTGACATACTGTATACTAAGAAGAAACAAACACAATCAAATAACTGGCTTGACTAACAAAAGAAAAAAACTAACTCAAAGGACAGCAGGCAGCAGTAGCTGTATTTCCATTACACATAATAGAACTGAGTCAAATAAACCAACACTCAGTCAAGGTCGGATCCAAAGGACCTGGTGTAGCCTGCAGCGGTGAATAACCAAACGCCTTTACATTGGGATAAATGTGAAGTTAAATCTAATTTCTAGTTTCAACTTCCTGCTTTGAAGAGTTTATTTTGTCTTGTCAACTTTAATTTTCTCTCTCTTATCCAGGGTTAAAAACATCACAGCCTTCAAAACGGGTCAGACCAATGTCTATGAGTTCTCTACTTCAGTGTCGGGGCGATACGTCACTGTGATCATACCAGAAGAAAAATACATGGCTCTCTGTGACATGACAATCACTGGAACAAAAATGGGTAAGTGATCCATGTTCATCAACTCTCACCATCAATAAACTACATAACATGTAATAATTTCACCTTTCAGAGGAACGGTCAAGCTGTTGACTAATGCAAATATATTGGGTTACTGTAATAATTTACATGTTGCTGCATAACAACACCTTATTTTTATCACCCGTGTTGTGGAATGTTAGGATTCAATGTTGTCATTTTATCATAATTCACTGGCTATGATTGACTTTAATTAATTTTCTTTTTTAAGCTTCACCTTTTCTACTGATTGACCAAAACAAGACCTGGGAAGAAGCTCTGTCCTACTGCAGAGGTAACCACAGAGGTCTGGCCTCCATCTTGGATGAACAGATGCAGACCTTTGCTGAGCTGGAGGCTGAGAAAGCCAAAAGTCCCTTTGTGTGGATCGGACTTCACTACGGCTCCTCCCTCCAATACTGGTTCTGGGTTGATGACAGTGAAGTAGAGTTTAAACGCTGGAGTTATGGCAAACCAGAAGAAAACTGTGACACCAGTGGAGCCATGGAGAAAGAAGGAGACCATTTGTGGTTCAGCAAGTCTGATCATGAAAAGTTTAATTTTATCTGTGCTGTAAACTAAGAGCTGTAACATCTGAGTTACCATAGCTTTACTTTCAGTGAATCATTCAAAAAAACAATCACATCTTGTGTTGTTGCATCACTTAGTGTGTTTGTTTTTCTGTATTGTTCTATATTGTAGACTATTTCTCTAATCTCTGACATTTTTACGATCTGTGTAAATTTGACTAATTAATTTAGGAAGTCCCTGGATAAATTAAATATGTTCTCATCCCTGGCAGATTTATTTATTACCTTCTTGCTGGAATGGAAAATCTGTTTTTTTGAGCTTTATTTCATGTTATAAAGTTATTCCCTCATCAGAATCATATCTGGAGTGTTTCTTTGATTCTTTCATTCATGTTTAGGGAATAAATAATCATTCCACAGGTTAAATCTCCCATGGCAACCATTCGGCGTGCGTAGGTGTTTGCTTCTGCAATGGACCAACTATTTCCTCATTGGCTCTGGCAGGGCCCCAAATGCTGTTTTGTATATTTGTGAAAGAACAGTGTCAGAATGCCTTAATATTATCTTATGTGTCATGTTCAGCAATAAGCCAGAGCCAAAACACTTGTTAGTTTTCTTCCAGATAAACTGAGTTAGTAAAGTAATGCTGCTGCATGCAGATAATGTTAGCTAAATGTTGAGTATTCCAGTACTTCAGCAGTATGATGATGCAGGACCTTCCTGGCTTAAATGAGGATTACAATTTGATGAGAAAAAAGAGAAGGGATGTGAAGATTATGTGGAGGAATTTCAACTTATTTTTGTAAGACTGATATGAAAAATATAAAGCTGAAGAAAATCTGTAACCATTAGAAAAAAAGTGGTGCAAAATCAGTCATTTTAAGCTAAAACAATCACAAAAAGGAATTCAAATAAAAATGCCACTAAGCTGTTTCATTCAAATATTTTTCTACTTTATTTATTCATTTATTTCAAACAGATTTTTTAAAACAAGCAATCAATAGTATAGAGAGAACATGTGCATACATAACCAAGAACAAAACCATTTGTTTACTGCTACTTACTTACCGACTTAATAATTATCAAAACCTTTAATTAAAACCATGTTATAATATTTATGTAAGTGTTAAATATACGGTGCTAAAGAGCCAACAAATACATTATATTACATAGACAAAATTGCTACAAACTAACTCTTATGACAAGACAAGAAAATCTATGGATGATAATAATAGAAATGACGACTGTAAATAACAACCAGACATACAGCATCAGAATAGTTAACAACAAAGTACATCTATAAATTCTTCTTAACATGTGTTATATAAAAATGATTAAAATAAAAAACAGAGAGGGAAAAAAACCCCTAATAATAATAATAATAGTAAGATAACAATAATAAGTTATCAATAATGGTAATAGTAAGACATAGGAATTAACAGAGCAAAGTGAGTCAGAAATTTTGATTGGCCTATAAATAATTTCTACTTTTAAGCACCATGTGGTTGCAGTTGCTGTTTTATGTAATCATCATATCCTGTTTTGCTGTTTTGCATAATATATGATGCATATCAAAGAAATTGTGAAAGTTTGTCTTTAATTACAAAAAACAAACAAACATGCAAATATCTTCTGGTTCTTGTATAAACTAAAGTTTCTAACAGTGTTTGCTCTCAACCAGAGCTTTGTTTAATGAAGTCAGGAAGGAAGAAGAATCTCAGTGTAGAACAGGAAACACTAGAGAGGAGAGAACATCTTCTCAAGGATAAGAGGACAAGGTGCTGTCCACATCACACAAACAAATCAGAGACAGAAGCTTTTCTTTCTTCATGAGAAAGAACTGATGGAGTAAATAAAATCTGTTTGCAGTGTTATTTCAATGCGCAGATGAAACTGAACTTTTCATCACCAGACTTGTTGAACCAGCGATGCTGTTCTTCTGTCTCCATGGCTCCACTGGTGTCACAATCTTTGACACCAGAACCAACATTACAATCATCCACCCAGAACCAGGACTCTAGGCTGCAGTCGTAGCGAAGGCCGAACCACACGAAGGGACTGTTGGCTTTCTCAGCCTCCAGCTCAGCAAAGGTCTGCATCTGTTCATCCAAGATGGAGGCCAGACCTCTGTGGTTACCTCTGCAGTAGGACAGAGCTTCTTCCCAGGTCTTGTTTGTGTCAATCAGCTTAAAGGGAGATTCTGGTAAGGAAAGGGGTAGAGAGGATATATTTACAATTTTGTCCGTATTAGAATAATAAATGGTGCACATTTTAGCAATCTGGAATAGGATTTAGTTACATCACTGCATTCAGAGATGCTGCTGTTCCACTAACTTCCATTTTAGCTTGAGTCTTGTTAATTAAAAGAGAAAGTTTGGGTGAGATGGTTGAAACTTTGAGACAGCTGGTTGTTCCAGCAGGACAAAGAAACAGACATCAGAATGAAAGCAGCCGACCTTCAAGTCTAATGAAAGTCAGAATATCTGCCAGAAAACCAACCAGCTTGATAAAAGTCTCCTGTTTCTATCAGGAAGAGTGGTGAAATGTCAGCAATAATTATCACAGAAGCTTGTAAACAGAGACAAAAAAAACTATGTGATCAACATGCAGCTTGCAGACGGGACATTTGTTAAAAGTTTAGTAAGAGTGTATGTATATATTTCTGCTTGTATGAAAAATCTTGATTGAAAATTGACAACAAGGCTTAAATTATATTAGTCTTTCACTTTAAAAGAAGAAAAATCTGTTCCTGCCTATAAAGAGTGTGTATAAATCTCTGTTAGTAGAATATTAGAATTATGAACATGGTTCAGTCAAATAATTGCATTTTACTGGATGACAAAGTGCATCAGGATAAAAACATCTTTTCTCTGACAGAACATTTCACAGACAGATTAATGCAGCACTTTAAAGTGAGAAAATGAGCACACGCCCAACATGTGCAAATAAATAAAATAGTATCTATATATTGTATTAGCACACATGACAAAAACTGAGACCAAAACATTTTTCGTCTTTGTTTGAAAATTAATGGATGAATTTAAAAGCGTCAAACCATCTTCAGCCTGTAATGAATTTATTTGCCTGAGATTTAAATGAAACATACCGAGCTCTGTGCCAGTGATGTTCACCTCACAAAGAACCAAGAATTTGTTTTCTGGTTTGATCACGGTGACGTAGCGCCCAGACACCGATGTGGGAAATTTGAAGACATTTATCTGACCTGTTTGGAAGCTTGTGACGTTGAAAACCCTGAACAAGAGAAAAAAAAAACAACAGAGAACTGAGCTGACAATGAATACAACTGAGTGGTTTTGAAAATGGAGATGCAGAAGGTGGAGCCACCAAGGAAAGCAGAGAGTTTGTTATGACTCCATGTTGGGAAGAAATCAAAGTAACTCAAAAGGAAACCTTTTGAAAAATGTCAGACCTTCTAGCTTTCTGAAACTGTCAGAATTTGTCAAAGTATTGACACTACTATGACATATGCACTCACCGGCCACTTTATTAGGTACACCTGTCCAACTGCTCATTAAGGCAAACGTTGTAGTGGAAAACCACATGGCAGCAACTCAATGCATTCAGGCCTGTAGACATGGCCAAGACGATCTGCTGCAGTTCAAACTGAGCATCAGAATGAGGAAGAAAGGTGATTTAAGTGACTTTCAACGTGGCAGGGTTGTTGGAGCCAGACAGGCTGGTCTGAGTATTTCAGAAACTGCAGATCTACTGGGATATTTGTGCACAACCATCTCTAGGGTTTACAGGGAATGATCGAAAAAAGAGAAAATATCCAGTGAGCAGCAATTCTGTGGGTGCAATGCGTTGTTGATGCCAGAGGTCAAAGGAGAATGGCCAGACAGGGTTCCAGTTGATAAATGGCAACAGTAACTCAAATAACCACTCGTTACAACCGAGGTATGCAGAAGAGCATCTCTGAATGCACAACATGTTGAACCTTGAGGTGGATGGGCTACAGCAGCAGAAGACCACACCGAGTGCCGCTCCTGTCAGCTAAGAACAGGAAACTGAGGCTACAATTCACACAGACTCACCAAATCTGGACAATAGAAGATTGGAAAAACGTTGCCTGGTCTGATGAGTCTCGATTTCTGCTGCGACATTCGGATGGTTGGGTCAGAAATTGGCATCAACAACACGAAAGCATGGATTCGTCCTGCCTTGTATCAATGGTTCAGGCTGCTGCTGGTGGTGAAATGGTGTGAGGGATATTTTCCTGCCACACTTTGGGCCCACTAGTACCAGCTGAGCATCGCGTCAACGCCACAACCTACCAGAGTATTGTTGCTGACCACGTCCATCCCTTTATGACCACAGTGTACCCATCTTCTGATGGCTACTTCCAGCAGGATAACGCACCATGTCATAAAGCGCCAATCATGTCAGACTGGTTTCTTGAACCCAACAGTGAGTTCACTGAACTCCAATGGCCTCCACAGTCACCAGATCTCAGTCCAATAGAGAACCTTTAGGATGTGGTGGAACGGAAGATTTGCATTTTGGATGTGCAGCCATGCACATCCAAAATGTGCAAATATGGACCAGACTCTCTGAGGAATGTTTCCAGGACCCTGTTGAATTTATGCCAAGAAGGATAAAAGCATTTCTGAAGGCAAAAATTGGGTCCAACCCCCTCACTACCAGTGGCTGGTGAGTGCATGTAAACAAATTTGAGCAAAGCACTGAAATTCAAATCCAGGTTTAAAAATAGCTTTGGATGAGAAATCCCTTCTGTAAAACATTTAACAAAGAAAGGAAGCAAAATGTGCATGAAATTGATCATTAAAACCATAATTTCTCTTTTGAGGTATCAAAATGTGACATCATTTTCATTAAGGAAACAGGATGTTCTTACAGTGTGTTCTTGGTGCCGTTGTTCTGCAGAGAGTTCCCAATGTAGATCTGAGCTCCTGACAAGTCAGTATTATAATCGGTTGGATTAAATACAGACATACAGGAAATATTGTAAACAGCCTTCAGGTCAATTCTCCACCAGGCCTTGTTCTGCTGCAGGGTGTGAGCACATGTGGAGCGATTCCCATTAAAGGCTCTGTCACCAGTGAACGGTATGCTACTAATATTAGTGTAGACTGAAGACTGAGATGCTTCCTTGTCAGTCAGATTGATGTTCTGTGTGCTGCAGACATCTGGGAATGAAAAAAGAAGAACTGATCGTTACTTTTACAATCCATGAATTACATAAGTTCAGTTTCTAGAGTTCAGCAATGTTATTTTAGCCTCACCTGCTGTCTGCTCAGTTTCACAAAGCCTTCCTGTGAAGTGCCAGAGACATATGTTGAAAGTCTGATTTTTATTTATTGACCGACTTGAAGTTAATTTTGAAATAATCACCACATTCTCACACTAGTTTTACTCTTTAGTGTTGTCATTTAGTTTCATGTTGTTGTTGAGCTCATTCACTGTAAAACTGGACTTTTTTGATCACTTAGATGCAACATTATAATAGTTTGAATCATCAGTACCAGACTAAACTGATGTTTTAGTAAATAAAATGACTTACCAATCAGTAAGATGGATAACAGTGTCCACATCATCTTAAGTAGAAAAATATTTTGTCATTAGTTTTGTGAAATCACTTACTAACAATTTTCTACAAATAATTACATTCAAATTAGAAAGTACAGTTTTGTACCGATTGATTATTAAAAACATAGAATATCTTTCTTTTTAGCTCACATTCCCTCCACTCACCTTGGCAGGATGTTGCTCACTCTCAGCCTATGTGCATCTGATCCTCTCTGTCAGCCACAGCCCAACATTTATTTTATATTATGAGAAACCCTGATGCAAATGAGAAGTTGTTTCTGCAGAGGTCAGTTTTCTGCATCTGATTTGCATCAGTGAAACAAGAAATATATAATAATAACGACAACACTCTTCATCAGCAGCTCTGATGAAGAGCTCATCTGTTTCTTAGGAACTTTAGAGTTTTCACATGAACTTTGAAAAGGACTGAGTGACTCCCAAAACCTTTGTAAGAAGCCATTCTATAATCAATGCAAAAATAGGAATATTGAAGAAAAATAAAACTTTCTCATGTGCAATGTATGTCGCCAGCTTTCTCCCATTCACTTGGATTCCTCCAGTAGAATGTTTTTTTTTTTTTTACTGGGTCAATGTACAGAATGAGAAGTTGTGATCAATGACATCATGTTTCTGCGCTGGTTTAGATTGTAGTCCTAGCTTTAGCAATGGCAGCAGTAGATGTGAACGAAGCCACTTTCAGTCTGTGTACATAACAATTTTAGATAATTATATTATTAACTATTTATTGACTGATACTAGTGTTGTTAATAGCACAACAAAATGTCACCATCTGGCAGAAATACTCAAGCCTGGAAATCTGTCACCTAAAAAATAAAAAATAAATAAAACATGTCCTCTGGCTCCCTCTAGTGGTTCCAATATCACAGATCCTTAAATGCTATTTTGCACAAGATGAGTAACAGGACGACACAGAGACATTGTGAAAGTCAGTATTTGATTACAATAAACTGGTTCCCACAAAAATGAAAGCTTCTCACACAGTTTGCACCCAAATAGACCAAACGGTGCTTGATGAGGTCAGGAAAAACTGCACTTAAAAATCTGCCTCAATGAAATCAATGTTCTTCAAAAAGTTTGCATATTCTCCCTGTGCATGGTGGGTTCTCTCCAGGTACTCTGGTTTCCTCCCACAGTCCAAAAACATGACTGTCAGGTTGACCTCTCTCTCTAAATTCTCGTTCGGTGTGAGTGTGTGTGTATATGGTTGTTTGGCCTGTCTGTCTCTGTGTTGCCCTGCGACAGACTGGCAACCTGTCCAGGATATGCCCCGCCTCTCGCCCGTTGACCTCTGAATATAGGCACCAGCAGCCCTCATGACCCCACCAGGGATAAACATGTAAGATCATAGAAGGATGGATGTTTAAATGTGAGCAAAAAGTAATAACTCTGAAACAGGAAGAACAGAGGAGTGAGTGAAAGCCTTTATTCATACAACACCTTCTGCAAAACGCAAAGTATTTGCATCT